ACATTTTTTTTTTTTTTTTACATGATTCCCAATTATTTATATTCATGATTTCTAATATTTGTACAGTCTTTACATTTTTATTTCAATGTAGTAATTAGCAATTAATTTAATTTTATATTTGAACAGATTTGTTACGTGACAGCATTAATTAAAGTTTCTTAAGGGTCAAGATCATGTTATCTGCATCTCCTGCGCTCCATCAAGCCACTCCCATAATAGCTGTCAGCACTCAAATTAATGCACGACTCTACATTATCTGTATAGCATGTGTGTGAGACTCGAATACAATTATGAAGTGATTATTTTATGACGAATAAATCTCAGTGAGTAAAACCGGCTGCGTCTATAGTATTAAAGGCTACACAACATTATTATATTATCTTTAAATTAAATTTTAAATGATTATTATTTTAAATTATTGTCCCTGGATTAGTAGGGTACTCTTGTAATAAAGTAGCGGTGGCTGGGACAGATTTTAAGTATCAATTCTGCTTAAAAAGATGCAATCTAATCCTGTTTACATGAAATAAGCCTGCTCCCGAGCAGGTTTAAGTTTACAGACCTGTTGCTATGACAGCAACTCCAGGATGAGCTTCGAAGAACCAAATGATCCAAGATCATGCCAAATCGTCAACAATCAAATCCAGCTAACTGAGTTAGCAATGTACGAAGAACAGGCCCCAGATTCCCTCACTAGTGTGATTAAACGTTGTGATCTGTTGTATGTGTCTGTCCTCAGGAGTGGATATCTAAAGGACATGGTGAATACAGAGAGATCCCAAGTGAGAGGGATTTCTTTGCTGAGGTTAAAGAAAGCAAAAGTGTGGTCTGCCATTTCTACAGAGACTCTACCTTCAGGTATTTGAGGACATTTTTTCCCTTATATTATCCTTGTATTTTGGATTATAAATCAAATGTGCAAACAGATATTTTCAGTGTTTAATTTATTTTCCAAAGATGCAAAATTTTGGACAAGCATCTAGCTGTTTTGGCGAAGAAACATCTGGAAACAAAGTTCATCAAACTAAATGTAGAGAAGGCTCCATTCCTAACCCAGAGGCTGAGGATCAAGGTCATTCCCACACTGGCTCTGGTGAAGGACGGGAAGACTAAGGATTATGTTGTGGGCTTCACCGATCTGGGTAACACGGATGAATTCCCTACTGAAATGCTGGAGTGGAGACTGGGCTGCTCAAATATCATTAACTACAGGTAAGTGAAGGAGATAGTTCGATAGTTAAACACACTGAGGTGGTACAGGGTCAGGCCACCATGCAGGAGCACCAGAGTTGTAAGAGCAGGGCATGGTATTTCGATGTAACAATAGCCGGGTTTTCATCCAAAGTTGCGAATTTAACTTATGCGCAAAACTGGAATATCGCATAAAACATTCGCGAACAAGCATTGTTTCCATCCAACAAGTCAAAGAGAACACTAAACACAAAATCGCCACCTGATAAACTGGCACTGTAAATCACTAAGAAAAGTAGGAGAATATAATAATTTTCATATATAATAAATTGCTTGCGCCTCAGAGCGAGCAGACGAAACACAATGAATAAACATTCATTGCTTTCGGAGGTGGATGCTGCTGTTTGGGAACGCAGTCGTGCAAGACATTTCTGGGAGGCAATTATACAGAAATACTTTGATGAGAGACTTTGCTCGTGCATTTCCGAATGACCATAACAACATTTCAGATGCTGTGGAATGAGATCAGTCCGCTGGTTAGTCAGGTTTTGCCGTCCCTTAGCGCAGTCACATGACTTTTTTGATGCGCTTGGAGGAATTTATTTGCAAAATGCATTTCCATCTCCCATTATTCGCATCAACCCTTTTTCGCACAAGTCAAAAACCACCTCAAGCGAGCGTAAAAACTTTTTTGCGAATTAAGGGATTTTTATTCGAAATTGGGTGTTTCCATCACTCGTTTCTCATGCGATACTTCAAAATGCGAATTAAAATAGGGTGATGGGAACATAGCTAGTGTACTGTCTGAGTTTGATGGATCGATGGACAGATATGCATTGATCTGAACACACCTCCTTGGATTAACATACAATGATGGCGCATGTTAAGAGGCGTGTTGAAGAATCATGTCACGATTCTACCAATTTCTGGGCAAGGATAAAAAAGAAAACATATTTGCATTTTAAACTAGGGAGTTAGTTTTGAGTTCTGAAACTTGCAGTATGTTTTTATTCTAGAGGGACCTACAATAAAAAATTATTTTTTTTACATGCATAGTATATGTGTAAATATCAAAACATTTTGATTTCCATTTCATGATCCGTTTAAAAATTTAATTTATTCCTGTGATGGCAAAGATGAATTTTCAGCAGTCATTACTCCAGTATTCAGTCACATGATCCTTCAGAAATCATTGTAATGTGCTGATTTGGTGCTCAAGATACATTTCTTATCAGTGTTGAAACCATGATTTTTTTCAGGATACTTTAATGAATAGAAATTTCAAAAGAACAGCATTTTTTAAAATTATTTTATAATGTAAATTTCTTTACCTTCCTTGCTGAATAAAAGTATTAATTTCTTTACTTTTATTTTTTATTAAAACCACTTTTACATTTCTGTCTGTTTTCCTTCTAGTGGGAATCTATTGGAGCCACCAACTATTGGACAGAAGTCAGGGTCAAAGTTCACCAAGGTGGAGAAAAAGACCATCAGAGGCAAAGGTTATGACTCGGACTCAGAATCTGATGAGGATTAGAGGACTAAAACATAAAGCTCCGTCTTTCTCAGGGCTTCCTACATAACAGTCCTAAATCTTGTAACACCACTTTGTGGTCACTTTTTTGTTTGTATTTTTGCAGTGTATTTAATTTCTTCTTTCACCTTTGTCTTGTTTGCCCATTTTAAGATGACTGAATACCACCTGATAGTGTATTTATACTTCATTTCATATCTCTTTAGGTTTTAATGTACAGAAGCGAAACTTTTCTATGGAACATAATTCTGGTGAAGGTTCTCTGTCTTTAGTGCTGATTTATCATCTAAGGAAGATTGAGTTTTTGCAAGACAGAAGAATCAGATGCATTTAAACAATGGTGCAAACACAAACTCATTATTTTTGCCTCTGATAATGATCAGATCAGTGAGCATTGAACAAGTGCCAAGGAAGCAAACTTCTGTATTCCACTAAGAATTGCCACCTCTTTCTCCCATTGATGTGAAGGATGTGCATTTTTTTCATTTTATAGCAGTACATGACTTATTAAAAAAATTATATAATATGCCTGTTTTGTTCATGTCAATGAATAATTTTTTGTCTCACTGAACATATTAGTGATTTCACATCACCTGAGTGATTGATGTTTTGTAGAAGACAAAGATCTAGTAATTTACATTTTACATTCATGCAATTGGTTGTCACTATTATCCAGAGCATCTTACATTTAATTCTAAGTACACATTTACTTTTTATCGGTTCTTGCGTTCCCTGGGAATGCTCTGCTGTTTGAGCTACAGTAAAGAAGACTGATATTCAAATCTTTATTAAACAACAAAAACACAGCACAAATGGTAGGCCACAAAAATTCTATGACTCGATGGCTTTTTGCTCAAGTGGTTTGAGGAGACGTTTCACCACCAGCTCGCCTTTGCTATTCAGATATGTGTTAGCCATGTCCTCTTCAGCAGGCAATCCATAGGGAAGCTTGAGAGGCTCAATCCTGCAGATAAAGATATTATTTTAATAAGTTTATTCTAATGGTCAGCAATCATGTTAAACTGATTTAAATGTGCAAGTCCAGCTTACCGAACTAGATGCTTAATGATTTTCAGTAGATTGTTCACTGATGAGGTGTTCTTGTGGATACGGGGTTCATGTGCCTGGTGATAAAGAACATGATGTATTGAATAATATTTCACTTAAATTTTATCATTTCTTATTAGAATACTGTAATTTTACAAAAGGATGATCACATCCCACCTTCATAAGCCCCAAACTCTTCACAACCTTCTTTTCCCAATAGGGTCGTCTCATTGTGCTTTTAACTCGTGTCACTATATGCAGTTTATGTGGGTGTTCTGGATCACCACCATACTTGTCATGTTCTTTTGCTCGTTCCTCAAATACCTGAAGGACGAAAATATGGTGTGATGTCATTAAGTTCAATATAATTAATCGAATAAAACGATGCAAGTACATTTGAACCGTCATATACCTGTGGAGGGATGCGACTCTTAGTGAATTTAGTGCGACATGATGTGGCTTGTGTCAGATTCTGCAATGACAGTTTTAAAAAGGTTTCATTAAACACTTTTTTGACATGGTTATCAAATCAATTACCATGATGAAATGTGAAAGAATCTCACCTTTGTGACACTGGACGCAGATGTTAGAAGAGCTCGATACAGTCCTGCCATGATTACACAGACTGGCGTTGACTTGAACGCTACTTAGGAAGGTTATTAGCTAGCAAGCTATTTATAATTAAACATGTCCAGTTCAACACTCAATAAATGGACTAACGTTATATAGTGACCACAACCGCATAAAATAATTGAATGTTATTTACTCAAATACCCATGTTATTGTGATACGTTAACGGATAAACGTACCATAACAACTAACTACACTACAATGCATGCATGCATGTCAAATAGGTTGACTTGGAAACGGAAACGACTCTTTGTTAAAAGAGTCATTTCAAAATAAAAGTTCCCCGATCCGGAGACTTAGAACGGTTCATTTCAAAGAACCGGTTAAAGATTATTCCACGATTCTGCTTCGATATTACATGTTCTAAAACTTTCCAATGAACATATAAGCACAAATTGTTTATTACCGTTTTATTAAAAAAAGTGTAATATTTAATTAACAGTTAATGTGCTTATTGTAATTTCATGTGTCCCAGTTTGCTGCATGATTCTGCTCATAAAAAATGTACATTCAAAAGTCATCTTGAACCTAAGTATATAATTTACATTTACATTAAACAATAATACATCTCTTGGTTGTTTTTCCCCCTTGCCTAAGTTAACTAATTCGGACATTCTAAAATAAATGTTCGAAAGAGACGATTCTCAGTTCAGCCACGTTGTTTACTCAGAACGAATCGTTCAGACTGTTCAACAGATTCACTGAAAGATCCGACTCGACTGAACGATTCATTTATAAAATGTAAATCGCTCTCTTCCGCAGTGGCACCATACTCGTTTGCAAAAAGCAAAAGTTCGTAGCCTTTCAAGTTCATTGCGATCTTCGTTGAGTTTGTGACTTCGTTTCGCTTAGAGAATGGGGAAGCGTGTAGCTGTAGTGTTGGCAGGCTGCGGTGTCTTTGATGGAAGTGAAATCCACGAGGCGTCTGCGGTTCTGGTTCATTTGAGCCGTCAGCAAGCTACTGTAAGTTTACATGTGAACCTCCGATTATCAGATCTAATAATCTCCACTGCATAGAATGCAATAGCAGAGGTCAACAGAGCATAGTATAATACCAATGCAACAAACAGCTGATCCATCTAGAGCACATGACTAGTCAAGTTGATTCTATTTATATCAGATCACTTATTTAAACATGGACATGGCACAACCATATGAATGGATTGTAACACATTGCACTGTCTTCACTCTTGACAAAGAAGCAGCACCTCTTTTCCCATTTTCGATTATCCGGGAGTGACGCGCTGCCAAGATTGCGACGGCCGCCCCGCCCACTTTTGAGCTTCAAAAACTCTCTTCGGAACCCTACGGGTGACGTCACGGACACTACGTCCATGTTTTTATATTAATTATGTGACTTTTAGTAAATACAACATTTGTGCACAGAACAAACTCTGCAAACATATAGAAACTTGTGCTTAGTGCTGCATGTATTCGGTTATGTCGTCAATTTGCATACAAAAAGTTTGGGGTCAGAAAGATTTTTTTTTTGAAGAAGAAATTAATATTTTTGTTCAGCAAGGATGCATTAAGTTGACTGAAAGTGATGGTAAAGGCATTAATATAATATTTTTTTAGGTCATTTTTATTTTATAGTTTTCATTTTAATAGTAAAGTTTTAGTAATTTTGACGTTTTAATTTCATTAGATTTTTAAAATATGTCTATAGTTGTATACATTTTTGTTTCAGTTTGAGTTATTTTAGTAAATCAAGTTAAATTAAATTAAAATAAAATAACTTTCAATTAAAATAAAATGTAAAATAAGTTAACGTTTATTTTATTTCAAGTTATAAAACTGTTTTTTTTTATGGTTTTAGTTTTAGTTAACTATAACCTTGTTTTGAACTTTATATTTATCAAATAATCCTTAAATAATGTTCCTGGTGTTTACAAAAATATGTAGTAGCACAGCTGTTTTCAGAATGCATAATAATAACAAATTATTACATAAACTATTATTATATTGAAATTATTATATGCTATAGATATTTGATCAAATAAATGCATCCTTGTTGAGCATAAGAGACTGTTTTCAGAAACATTAAGAAAATCTTAGCAACTTCAAACATTTGAATGCTAGTATCATTCATTATCATTGGAATGATTTGTCCTCATTCAGTAGAACATGATGGAACAGCAAAGAAACAGATTTTAACCCACAGAAAAGGAAGAGATCTATTTATACAAAGTCATGTGTTTTGTACCTAATTATCTCTATGATTCCGTATTGTTCACAAAAATGTAAATATTAATATTAAAAGACAGCACTGAGGCATACTGTCTGAATCTTTGGCTTTCAGGTATCCAGATGTTCCAGACACTGCGGAAGCTATTTCTCAGCTTGGCTGCAAGCACATCTGCAAGCATGTAAATGAGGCTCATGTCGATGAGAAAAACAAGATTGTCACCACCTGCGCTTTCATGTGCAAAGCACCACTACATGAAATATTTGATGGAATTGGAGAGATGGTACGGGAGGTGCTGAAACTTGCCTGAATTCCTGCAAGATTAATGAATTGGCCCTGTCTTTCTAATGTTTGTATATAACAACTCCAGCGTCTGAATAAACCAGTAACATATTTGTCTCATTAAGACTTTGTTACAGATGGAATAATGAGTCCATCCTTATTTAAATATTTATTGATTGGAGAAATCCTTTGTGATAACATCTGAACATCTACCTAGTAATGCCTGTTTTTTTTTTTTAAGTCTGAAGGTCAGTCAGGAGCACAGATGTTACATAACTTTAATTTGTCCGTTTTCTAGAAATACACCATAAAGGTCATATAAACTACCGTTTAAAAGCTTGTATTCAGAAGTACTTTTATTCAGCAAGGGTGCATTACATTGATCTGGAGCATCAAATCAGCATATTAGAATGAATTCTGAAGGATCATGTAACACTGAAGACTGGAGTAACTGCTGAAAATTATTTAAAAAAAATCTCATCACAGGAATAAATTACATTTTAAAGTATATTAAAATAGAAACCAGTTATTTAAAATCGTAATAATATTTCACAATATTACTGTTTTTACTGTATTTTTTATCACATAAATGCAACCTGGCTGAGCTTAAGAGACTTTCAAAAACATCAACGTTTTCAATGATAATGTAAATGACTTTATTAGATAAACAACAAATGTACAACAAAGATAATTTCAACATGGAATAGAAAAAAAACCCCGAAACAGAACAGAAAATATAGTGATGTAAAAACAAAAGAAAAAAACGATGTGAAACCTTTCATTCAGAAATGTGAAAATGGACAAAACTATTCTCTCCCTCCACTTTCAGTTTAACAAGTGAAAGGAACTTACTCTTTTCTTTCTGGGAAAAACTACATCTGATGAAAGAACACTATTACTAAATGCTGTGTATTTGAAAAAAAAAAATCGGACATTGCAGAAATATTGTAGGGTAGCCAGAATACACTCCAAATGCTTGTCAAATACATAGACAAGGTCCAAAATGAATACTTGCTAATCACCAGATGAAATTTTGGTGAGTAAATAACAATTTGGTTGTAATATAAAATGCAGATTTAAGTCACGACTCCACAGTGGATTTCATGCTTTTACCTAATCAGAATTTACACATTTATCATATTCACCATCAAAGTTTGCTAGGAAGTATTTCAGAACTGTATGTGGTACAAATCCACCAAAGTGAGAATATAAGGAACAAAGTAATGACAGGTTTCAATATGACAATATGATACTTTCTATTAGCGTAAATGGTGCCACATTACACAATAATTCAGGCCAAAGCTGAGTAGCGGCGCTCATCTCTGTGCATCACGTGCTTATTAAAGTGCATGTATGACCAAAGCATTGAACAGTCTTGATTTGTGTCCAGACGGTCTACAGTGTAAATAATGCCCTCCACAACATCAGCGGTCAGCACAGTCGAAGCATTAGCCCTGAACTTCCTCACCAGATCCTCATGACTGAGTGGTTTCCTCCAGTGACCGTAAAAAGTGTTGCAGCACGCAGTGAACGTTTCCCCCTGAGTTGTCTCCACTGCAATTTCGCAATACATTTTTTCAAAGCTCGAGTGATTGTCTTGTGGATTTTCCAACCGTACTTTCCGAAGCATCTCCTTTAGGGCACTCCTGTTCATCTGGCTTTTGCTGAAGGAGTCGACGGTGACCTCTCCATCCAGCAGTGCGGTACAGCAGTTGAACTGGAATGAGTGTCTGGCCTGGTGCTCGCTAAGCGGAAGAGGGCAGTCTACATATCTGGATGAGGGCACTCTGAGAGTGATCTTTTTGATTTGACTGAGATCTGCATTTGGGTATTTGTCCAAAAATTTCGCCCTTGCTTCTATTGCTGCATCCGCCACCCAGTGCATCCCGAGATGGGCGGGAAAGCGCTTCTGTGCAATGTTCTGGTCTTCTAACACCCAGCTGTAATGAGAAGTAGGGGTGACCTCAGCCAGTGGGTGAGGGACATAATCTGGATAGAAGGCCCCGAAGCCTGATTCCAGATCCAGAATCTGTGTGTTACCCTCCAGGCCGAGGAGAGCAAGTTGGGAGGCCTCCAGACCCCCACGGGCAGCATTGCCCATGTGGAGAGGTTTGGTTTGAGTTGCAGCGTTTGCCATGGGTGCTCCAGCGGATGAGCAGGCTATTGCTAGAGCTGCTATGCTCTGGGCTGCCGGGAGACCCAAAAGTTTAGCCGTAGCAGCCGCGCTGCCCATAATCCCAACAACTGCAGGTGGGTGGAATCTGAGAGGGACACATGAATTAAAAATAAATATACAGTGGGTACGGAAAGTATTCAGACCCCCTTCAATTTTTCACTCTTTGTTATATTGCAGCCATTTGCATTGTCTTTATTTATTAAATGGTAAAGGTGAGGACAGTCATATTGTTTGGCATTCAAATCAATTTCCAGTAGAGCTGTTAACAATTAAGAAATTTGTTCTGCTTGCATTTTATGAATAGGCCTACAGCCATTAAAATATTTCATTAAATATACTTAACTGATAATTAGTTTGTGTACATACCGACTGTTAGAAACACCCGAGGTGTAACCTCGTGTAACATCACCACCTCGGGTGTGCATTATTTTTCTAATAATTCAACGGCCCGTCGTCAATTATTCCTTACTTAAACTGATAATTAGTTTGTACATTCCAACTGTTAGAAATGTACACTGATGTTCAACTATTTGGAGTTAGTAAATTTTTTAAATAAATTAATACTTTCTACTTTTAAGGATGCATTAAATTGATCAAAAGTGATAATAAAGACTTTTACATTATTATAAAAGATTTCTGTTTGAAATAAACACTGTTCTTATTCAATTTATATTCATGAAAGAATACAAAAAAAAGTCTCACATTTTTAACATTGATAATAATAATAAACGTTTACCGAGCAGCAAGTGAGCATATTAGAATGATTTCTGAAGGATCATGTGACACTGAAGACTGGAGTAATGATGCTGAAAATTCAGATATAAATTAATGCAATGCCTCTAATTACTTTGATATTCCAAGCATACATCAGAAAGTTTCACTTTCATCCCGTTACTAAAATTGAAAATGCATACTTGTCCATTTGAAAGTCAAAATCACGAGCTTTAAAATTAGGGCCAGTTCTTTTATTTGGTTTTATTTTACTATTTCTATATTTCATTTAAATAGTACATAATTGTACACTTCAGAAAATACTGCTACCTTTTGGGAATGTTGTGTGCCTCTTTAGAAAACCTCAGGAGTCTCCCCTGAACCTCTATGCCTACACTGAAAGCCAGCAACAGCTCCAGGCCAGAGGGTTTAACAGGCAAAGTTTCAGCCAGTGCTAGGAGAGCCGGCAACACAGCGCCGGAGGGGTGAGTGGCTGGATGCCAGGTGTCATCAAAGTCCATAGAGTGCACCTAATATATCACAGGAACACATCCCATTATCAGTCTGAGAGAATACATACGTGCCTTAAAAAAAGAAATAAGTAAACAATTGTTTTTATCACAAGTATATGTATTTACCAAAGTATCTGAACGTGATTATTTAAAATGACCTACCGCAACTCCATTAACAAAGGCAGCATAGTGAGGTGGAAGAGATGATCCTGGTCTGCCCCAGACCTTGCTGTTTTCCAGTGCTTGCTGCCTCTAATTTATAAATGATCAAAGAAATGTTCATAAAACATAAGAGACATTAAAGAAGGACAACTGAATAATATTCCTCTATGTAAACACTATCCTCACTTGGCTGCACTGAAGTACTGTGTTAAAAACTGGGGTGCTGGTTCCAAGCAATCCCACTCCCAGCGTGTCCAGTATCATTCGCTTACTCCTCCTTATCACTTCATCTGTCAGATGAGATGTGCCCAGACAGGACACTGCTGCCCCAAAACTCTCAGTAACTCCCTGAGAAAATAATAATGACTATTTAATTATAATATTTTGCATAGTCTATCCATAGCACAAATACATGTTGGATGCATTTGAATTTTAAATGTAGCAAAAGAAGAAATATATGTCTAAAAAATAGCTGGATGAATTAACTAGCATTGTTTTATCTGCAAAGAAATACTACAAGAAATAAATGATTAGAAGTACCTTTCTGATCATTGTGTGAGGTCTGAATCCTACTGCGAGTTCAGAGTGGTAACGTTCGCCTTATATACTATGCTCCTATAAGCAAAACTCGCCAACCAACGACTTTCCAAGGTTACTTAACCACAATAGTGTGAAGAGCATTGTTTCACAATTTGCAACAACCTCATGGCATTAAATCACAGTTCACATTTTGCACAAGAACATGGCTAATTTTAAATCATACTGTATGTTTAGATTTTACAATATATTTCAACAAAATAAAATTAGTAATAAAAAATAAGCCTAAAACGTAAGACCAACAAATAAATAACAACAATTATTATTATTATTAGTATTGCTATTATTCCAGAAATTGTCTTACACATTCACACATTAACATTTATTACATCATTGTCCACACATTAGAAAAATATGATTATTTTTTAATATTATTATTTTACACAAAATGAAAATCATTTAATGGAATCAAGAGTGCTTTCATGGAATGAAATTGAAAACAGGTCCATTATCAAATCACATGATATTATGGTATGACATCATATTTCATGAACTTGTATGCACACTAAAAGTGTGTATCTCCAGCATTTGTGAAATCTGGAATTTCTTTTGCAATTGTCAGAGACGGTCTTCTGTCAGTTACTGGTTCCTCATAATGTCACATGAGCGTGTCCCTTGTAAATTGAAAGAAAGATAGGCTATAATATTGTTTCATGTATTTTCATAGACTATTAGATTATTAGGCTTTTTCTGTGGTTAACGACATCAATATTTACATGACAGTTTTCAAGTTTTCAAGTGTTGGATATATTATTTGAGTGTCTTACAGGTGTTTTATAGAACAGTTTAAAGTTTAAAGTCAGTATTCCTGATGCTTTACAGCTTTTCTCAAATGCTAACACACAATTCATGAAACAATTCACCATTTTCTAACAACTATAAACGCAATCTCAAAACTTCACACCAACTTGTGCAAACTTCAAACTTCAAACTTCCTGGTCAAAATCAAATAGTTTAGTCAAAAACATGTCCTCTTTTGTCAGACTCTAACTTTGGCCTCAGATGATACACAAACCTGTCAAATACACAGACTATTTTCCTGCCTAGAGAACACTAGTGAGATCAATTCAAAACACTGCTACAAAAACCTCCTTTTGGGAAATAGGAATCCTTTTACTAGTCAATGTCTGTTACAGTATACGACATAAATAGAGGGGTGCAGATACAGTAAAATTCAGCAATAAACTTTAAGAAAAGTTTACTTTCACTACACTACTGTAAAGAGATCTTACAGTGGATGAAAAGCACTAGAAGAGAAAAGTTCAAAGACCAAACAACTGAATATACAGTAAACACACATTGGAATATACTGTCAGTTACTGTAAATAAATAAAATAAATTAATTCATTCATTCAGCATCCTCTGCCAAATTGCATTACAGTATTGGTAGTATCCGTATTTGTTATAGCAGTTTCTAAGTCTTCTGACAAAAGACTTCTCTGCCTCCCCTAGACAGTCATCTCATGTAAGGACTACTTGGCTACAAATCAATTCAACAGTAATGAGTTTGAGGGTGTACAACATGTGCTACAGTATTTACTGTACATAGAATAATGAAAGTTCTCTCATCTGAAGTACTGCTGCCATGTACTGTAATTATATTTTATGTGTAAGTAGTATTGATGAGCCTGTAGGCCAACTTCCCTCGTGGTCAGTCCATGCAGAAGAACTTGGTCAACTATAGTGCTTTGTAAGGACGCTTTGATCTCCTTGTGAAGCCAAAACTCAGGAACTCTCGCAAAACACATGCCATGCAACAAAACAATAAACTTTCTAATCTGACGGGAAGATCTAGAAGAAAATCATTTGCTCATATGTCCCTTCACCCATCCTCAGGGGCGTAGCCATCATTTCAGAAGTGAGGGGGACAGAAATGAAATATATATATATATATTACAATGTAACATTTCTGTAATATATATATATAACCTACCAGTCAAACATTTTTGAACAGTAAGATTTTTAATGTTTTTAAAGAAGTCTCTTATGTTCACCACAGTTATTTTAAATAGTACAAATATTTCAAAATGTTACTGTTTTGCTCTACTTTGGATCAAATAAATTGGTGAACAGAAGAGACTTCTTTAAAAACATAAAAAATTTTACTGTTCAAAAGCTTTTGACTGGTAGTGTATAGGCAACTTTAATGTTTCTCTAATTTCTAGCTTTTAATTGGCTAAGAAATCAGATACACTGATGGACAAAAACCAATAATAATGATTTGTTTATATACTACAAAAACCTTTTTATCACATAATAAGGCAGAATAGTTTCTATACTGTAATGAATGCTGTCAATTAGCACTGCATTGTTCATATACTTTATTTATTACCTGGAGATTACTTGAAAAACACAAATAAACCATATATTGTCGCAATCATATGTTTAATGTCTTCATGTTTCCAAACTTTTCTGTTTTTCTGTGAAAAGTAAACAACTGTTTTCATACAGCCACAGATGCTTTTGTCCATATTAGGGATTTCCTGGTACGACTTTCTGCAGGAGAGCGCCCTCCGGCTTCGAGTATGAATGAAACATACACTGCATGGAGTGTTTTGCGCTCCGTGATGTTCATCTTGCCTTATTCTGGGTCCGAATAATACATCAGGTCATGCATAGACTATCTTGTCTCTTTGAATTTAAATCTATATTTATTCACACCGGCTCTTGAAAACCTCTATGCAAACACACTTGCCTGAAAAGGGAGGGGGGGTTGGCACGTCCCCCGCGTGATCTACGCCCCTGCCCATCCTTAAGCCCCCTCCTTCCCTCCTGGGCAGATGGCCCAGGTCACGAAAAGTTGACTTAGGAGTGTCAAGAACTCAAGTTACTATACTTATATCATGCATTTACTATATCTTCTGAATTCATAATTGTAATGTTTGGTATCAATTTTACAGTTTTGGTGCAATTGGAAATATGATCTCAGTCCCATATCGGTAGAACAGACCTAAAATAAAGATCTCAAATTTGAGGAAAATTCTGTTCTTCTGGTGTGGGTTGTTTTTATTATCTTAAATTTATGATTGTTTGTTCTGATTTGGGTATTTAAAGAGAATTGGCGAAACATTCAAGGAAGCATCTGTAAACAGAACTTCCGGCACGATTGCCGTGTATCTCTCTATTTGCTGGGTATGCTGACTCTTTGAAATGATTTCAACATTATTTTGCTTATTTTATGTTTTATGCTGATCAGTTGTGTAACTAAATTTTTTATTATGCCTGGCAAAAAAATTTATTTCTTGATTTATTTTAGACTCTGCTGAAATCATTATGACTAGTAAACTGGCTTTTGTTACCGTCAAACATGAATGAATGGAGCAGCAGTGGGCACGTCATCTGAGACCTTCTGATTTCTGTCTATCACTGATGTTAGCGAGCTGTACGGGAAAAGACTAAATAAACCACACTTTTTGTCACGAGCAAGCAGTAGGCGGCAGACAGACAGGTAGGCCCTATTAGTAAACCTACACCCTCTGACTAAAACAAGACGGGCAAATTTGTGATCGTGAGACCTGCGCTCCGGCCGACGCAAGGCTCAAATGAGACATTAGGTCCCCAGTGAACGAATAATTGAAAGTATAGTGAGTCCGGAATAATCAGTTATTTAAATTATAACACAACTAACATTATGATCAGTTTTTCTGAATTGCTAAAACACATTTCTTGAAACCATCACTCAATTTCTCAAAACCTTAAACACAAATCCAAACCTTCAAACTAAATTCACAGCACCCCTGACTCTTCTGGCTAAATCAAACAATCGCTTCAAAACCATTTCACCTGTACTCATAATCAAAAGGTCCTCTCAGATCACACACACATCAGTCAATAAAATAAACACTACAGAGCATTCATTAGACACTACAGAGAAAAATGGAGAACACAGCATCCAGAACATTACAGAAAAAGTATATGGTATTGAGTAAACAATTTTGCAATTTTTTTGCAAAAAGTTGTGCAATTGTAAAATCAGGGTCAATGCGAGATTCATTCTGTCTCAGCATCATGTCTTTGTGCTTGAGTTCGGCCTGAGGACTTTGTCCACATCACAAGTAATGTTGTCTTTTTTTGCTAGACAAAGAGAAAAAACCCTCTGGCCTGACAGATCCAGCCTTGATAACACTCTCTAAACCTACTCTTTCTCTCCTCATCCTCCACTTCTTGCATGTACTCTTCCTCCTCTCCTTCTCATATTGTTTCCATCTATTGTTCGTATCATCATTCGGTCACCTGTGTCACTTGTGCACTCTGAACTAGCTCATATTTTGTACAATTGGTTAAATCACATCATTAGAAACAAGTGTGAACAATTTTGAATCGTTGTGTGTAAACGATGACAACTGTGCTTTAGTTAGGTTTAACTTTTGCCGCTTGTGTTTAGCATTTTGCAGCACAAATGCATCACAGTGTGACAAGTGTTTAAGTGAAAGAGAATGTGTTTAGAGTTTTGCAAAAAGAGTGCATGAGATTTGCAAATAGAGCCTAACTGCCTGAACGTGTTTAAGGTTTAGCAGAAAGAGTACTTTATTCGACAAATTGGTTTAAGCTAGTGAGAATTTGATTCAGAGATGGGGTTTAGTGTTTTAGCAATTCAGAAAAACTGTAAAATTACTATCGCAATTTGTATTCAATAAACACTTGAAATTGGAGTCAGATTCAAATGAGAAAGGAGTGAGAATTAAATTAGAAACCAAAGTTTTAATAAATCAATTGATTTTTTAGAAGCGCAAGAAAAGACATACACGCAGAACACCTTCCCCCGGGCCGCTGGACTTCGCTTTTTGGGCCAGTGGGTGGTCTTACACTTTGTATTTCATCAGGAACAAATGACCTTTGACCTCATCCCCTTCATGTTTATTTTCCCCTCCAATTCCTCTTTGTCTCCCACTACCAGGATTCATTTTCCAAAACACATAATCACTTGTGCTCTTGTTCATATCATCCCGAGATTCTGACCTG